ACAGCGGGTAGGGCGTTTGCCTTGCATGTGGCCATCCGGGGTTCAATTCCCAGCATCCCATATGGTCCCCTGAGCACCGCCAGGAGTAACTTACAAGTGCAGAGCCAGGAGTAATCCCTGTGCATAGCCAGGTGTGACCCAAAAGGAAAAAAAAAAAAAAGTCTGAGAACCCAACTGCCCTTTCCTTCCAATGTTTCCTTGGTTGTCCATCTGTCACCTCGCCCACCAAGATGCTTTCTTCCTGTTTCATTTCCTTAAGGCCAGCGGGACCCCGATGCAGAATCTCACAACAGACTCTAAGGGGAAACTCGGGTGGGAAGGGACCCATTCCTTCTGGCTGGTCCAGCTGAACAAGTTCAATGCTGGGGTTTTTCCTGACCCGGGTGAGTGGGAAAGGGAAGGAGGGCGAGGAAGCTAGAGCTCCCCCTCAAGACCCCAGAATCCTAGGCCAGCGCATATGCTTTGTGGGAGCCCCCGGGCTAGAGATGCAGGTTGGATTCTGCGTTGGTGCCTTTGGAGAGGAATTAGTGCTCAGTACAGGCCAGGCACAAAGCATTACGAGGCCTGTGACCTGTCCACACACACACACACACACACACACACACACACACACACACACACACACACACACAGAGCCCCATCCCCTCGCACACATACCCCCAACCCCCTTCCTCTCGACTCCCCTTAGGGAGAAGCAGTTGGGAAATATCAGAAAAATCTGGCAATCGTACTTAGGGGAAAAAAAAAAGACAGGTCAGCTAATGATAAACTGGGCAGAGGCAAGCAGGATGAATGGGCAGTTTCTGCGTGGGCCCCATTCAGTCTCAGCAGGTTCTTTTAGGGAAGGTTGTTTAACCCTTTAACAACCCAGGAAAGAAAAGCTCTCCAGTCCACTCAGCACCACTGCTGGCTTCTTTGTGACAAGATCTCAGTTTAGTTAATTAAGCACCAACCTAATAATGACTTATTGCTTCAGAAAGACTGTGGGTTAGGGGGAGCAAGGGACTTTGCCCTTTCTACATCCTGCAGAGAAAGATAATCCCGGCAAAGAAGGGAAGCCTTGGAGCAGCCAGAGGTCGGTCAAGCACCCTCCCTCCCTCCCAGCGGCAGGCCCCAGGATCACCTCTGGCCATCAGCTCTTAGCATCACAAAAGGAAGCAGCTCAGCACCAGAGGGTCCTTCCTCCTTCTGGCTGGAGCTCAGGGACACAGTGCTGCCTTGGGCTACTCAAACCAGCTTCCAATCCGGGCTTCACAACAACCCCTAATTGTTGCTGGAGGTGCCCTAAAAGGAAGAGTGGGAAGGTCACAGGGAAGGCTGCCACCCATGGCACTAGGTCAGGAGCCTGTTGGTCATGGGGAGGAGGGCCCAGATCCCCATGGGACAGTCTCCTCTATTTTGGCACCAAGACCGTTTTCTCTATCTCCCTGTTCTCCCCTGCTGAGAAATGAAACTATCTCTGCAGATCTTAACTTACCCCCCACAGGACCGGAAGTAACTCTCCCTTCCCCCTAACCAGAACCAGGAGACTCGGCGCCAGGGAAGCACCCTCCCCCCACTGCCTCCAGGGGCCACCTGCCCGGGAGGGCCCCTTCCCTCCTCCCTGGGATCCAGCACATCTGTGCTCCCTCCCTGGTGCCCTTGCTTCCTCCAGCGACTGTCCTTGGAAAGAACAATTGCCATCGCAGCTGAGCTGTGGCGCTTCTTAAGCCCAGCCACATGTCCCGGATACAGCCCCAGCCCTGTCAGCTGTCCAGATTGGCAGGGTGGCCTCAGACCCCAGAGAGCCAAGAATACTCCAGCCCTCCCTTACATCACAGAACACCCCACATCCACTGTGCAGGAAAAGGTCCCTCACAGCCAGGACCCCACCCCCACCGGGCACCCAAGTCTAGGCACGGAGCTGAGCCCCAGAGTTACTGGAGAATTCTGTCCCCCCTTCTGAAGAAGGGAAGGCTAAGGCAGAAGCTGAAGGCTGTTAGGTGACTCCCCGGCCCTGCCCAGGCTCCTAGCTTTGGTCTGAAAAGGTCCACAGTTCATAGTATTTCATCACCTTCATCCCCTTCTACCTCTAGCTGTTCTTTCCTGAAATGCAAAAAACATATTCCGAGTCAATTTTATGTCTATGGGGGTGTCCTAAAGTGGAACTGCTTTCCTTTTGCCATTTCCCTTCCTTCCAAACAGTCATGTCCGTACCCCAAATCCCCAATATCCATCCACATCCCTAGGTGGGAGAGTCGAGTAAGAACCTGCGGCTTCTCCCCCTGGGGGAAGCCCATCGGCAGGGGCTGGGGACAGACAGGCTCTCTGGACACTACCCAATCATAAGCCCTACAACTTTCAGCCCTCGAACGTGACTGAAGAGAGGACGCGCTTTCCAAGGATCTGTGGTACCAACACCTATCCAAAATGGGGACTGGAGTAAAGAGAAAGGCTTGGGCAGTGTAAGGGGCAAAACAGGCGGGGGCTGGACAGCACACACCCACACACACAGCCCCACCTCCAGAATTTTAGCAGCCGGACTTGGAAGCAAAGTCCCCCCTCCCATAAGAAGTATAACTTCCTTTTTCAAATCACTCTTTGTAATTCTGCACGAAAGGCTGCCTTCATCTGTCATTCCAGCCAGCCAATCACAGGGGCAGAGGGAGCGGCAGGTGAGCTAACGGGCTGTGAGTACAGTATAAACTGGACAGGGGGTGAGTATTGCAGACACTCAGCCTGGCCGTCTCTTCTGGAAGGAGGGAAGCAAAACTGATATGCGAGTCCCCAGACCCTGCCTGTGCCAGCCAGGAACCATTCTTTCTTGCCACCAAGCCCAACCCAAGCTTCAGAGAGAATTGCCATCTCAGAGGGTGATCTGGAAAAGGTTGTGGGAGCGAGGAGGCCATTTCCACTCCACAGCAAAAAAGCGTGTCTCCCGAGTTCAAATCTGCAGAGGAAGATAAGGGGTGACGTCTTCTGTCTCCCTCACCCGCACCGGCCAACCTCGCTCCATCGAGAAGATTTTTAAAATCTGCCACCGAAATGCCCCCTCCCCTGCCCTGGACTGGTCAGCACTGGCTCACGCACTGCTTGGAGGATTTGCACGGAGACTGCAGATTGCGCCCCCCATCCCCCAAGGGCTGGGCAAGAGAGGAAATTCGATTTCACACTGGACGTGTCTGCGCTCTCTTTCCCACCCTGCTGCAGAGAGGAGGGAGAAGGGGCCCAGCGCACCCCTCCTTTTGCTCCTCCGCCCCACACCCACACACCCAGTGGGGGGAGGGAAATGGAACCTCTCCGATGTTTATGTTGCATTCCATGAAGATCCAGAGAACTCAAAATATTGTGAAATTCCCACTACAATATTGGGGAAGGCCTGGGGCCAGGCTGGGCTTATTAAGAGATTGATAATTTGCAGCATTCTGAACCTTCAGCGCCTTCCCGGTCCAGCTTGGTACTCCTGAGAGACCAGAGGCAGACCCCAGAATCCATGGCCAGCTCATCTGCAAGCCATGCACTTGCTCCTCCCGCCCCCTCCAAGCTGGAGGGAATCACCCCATTGATTTGGGGGGCAGGAAAGAGGGGGTTCCCAACTGATCTGGGGACCCCCCCACCTTCCACTCAACCCACCCATTTGTGCTGGAGGGCTCAACGGAGCTGCCAGACGCCAGGAGGGAAGCCTCCTGCCCTCATCCAGGCCTGGCAAATATGGACGCCCATCCAGCAGCTGGTGAATGAGACAGCGAGGCGCTTGCCCCTCTGCCCACCACTAGGTCCTTCCAGCCCCAGCTGCTTCCTCACCGCTCCTCACCGGGTCAAGCCTCTCCACCATTTTCCGCTGCCCTTGCCTCCTGTCTCCTCCGCTCACAACCCCCAGCCCCCAATCAAAGAGAATTGAGAAACCGTCTTCTTGCACAAGAGCAGCTACTGTCTAAATGCTTTTTGATCGTCTGCATGGAGGGGGAACTGGGCACAGCACTGGCCCCAGTGATGGAGCCAAGCTCCAGCTGCCCAGGCCGGCGGAACCCGCCCTCACCCTCACTGCTTCCCCCCTCCCAACCCCTCCGCCCCGGTCTTGGCAATTCAGAAATTTTCAGAACATACCGTCCTTATCCTCCTCTCCTCTCTGTAACGTTAAGCCTGGTACCACCAAGGAGGGAAAGCGGGAGCCTTATCTCTCCTACGCATTCAACCTCTTCCTCCGGCTCCCACACGCCCGGCGTTATGTAAACGCACCTTCAGCCCCCACCAACGCCCCAGCGCGGTCCGTGGGCCCCGGGGCCTGGCACAGCTCGATGTCCAGGGATATAGGGGCACGAGGAGGCCCAGGAGCCTTGGGCCCTGTAGAGGCCGGGGAAGGAAGAGGCCACTGCAAGGCACTTGCCCAGCATAAAATGCGGCAGCAAGAGCAAAGGTCAGACGGCGAGGAACCGCCTCGCCAAAGAGAGCAGAAATGCCCAGTCTCGGGCCGGCCCCGCGCTGACCACCGAGGGGGGAGGCAGAAGGGAGAGAAAACCCAGTCCGTCACGGCTCCGAAAAGGGAAGGGAGAGCTACGTCGAGCATAGGCCGCTGCGGCGGGCTGGGGGAGATCCCCGAGCCCGGGGTGGGCTAACCGCCCAGGACGAGGGTGCCCGCGGACCCAGGAGGTGACGTCTGACCGAACCCAGAGTTGCCCGTGCCAGCGCCCGAAGCTGAAGGTGGCTGAGGGGGGAAAAAAAAAGGAAAGAGCGCAAGACCCAAGCAAACTCTTGGGACACGCACGGGGCTTCCCGAGTTGCAGCGAGCTGGGTAGCCCAGCTTGGCTGTGCCCGGGGTTCGGAACGCCGGTGCCAGGCAAGTGAACAACAGTCCAGGCGACGGGCCGGCCGGCCCGAGCGCGTCTGGGAGCGGCGGCGCGGGGAAGAAGAAACCGAGGCGCGTCTAGAAATAGCGCACCACTCGCCCCTGCCCGAGAAGGAGTCGCGGCGCGTCTCCGAGGGGGCCAGTGTGGGGATCCCGAAACCGGCCCGGGACTTACTCGGACGAGCCGCAGAGTCAGAAGCATTGCTCCCCGTCTCGGTAAATCTCCGACCCCGAGCAGGGCAGCCGCAGCTGTCCCGGCCGCCGCCGGCCGGAGAAACCGGCACGGCTCCCTGCGCTCCGCAGCGCCAGCTCCGCGCTGTCAGCGTCTCGCAGCCTCCGCGGCGATGTTGCAACCCACTGCCTGGGAAAATGGCTTTTTTATGAATGGGAGGGAATGGAGCGCCAGTGCGCACGCGCGCCGTCCGCGATTCTATGAATGGGTGGGCACAAGAGACCCCGCACGCGCATGCGCCGCGCTCCTTTTTTTATGAATGGGGGGCCGGAAAAGAACTTAACCCGTGATTGCTGGGGCTGGCTCTAGTTGCTCCTGGGGCCGTCGTTCTTTTACAAAGAGGGGTGGAGGTTGTTGTTGCCTTTTTTTTTTTCCTTCTTTTTTTTTTTTAATGAATGGAGGGCGGCGGAGACTGCTGCAGCTGGCTCAGCTGCGCGGGCTGTACCCCCTCCCAGCCTGCGAGAGGAGGTAAAGGCCACCTTCACGCCACTGCGGGCCTGGGCAGGAACCGTCAGTGTCGTGGGGGGAGGGTGTTAGGGGGGGCTTTTCTGCCGCGGGGAGGGGGAGACACACCTAGATCTAGGGAAGGGCGGTGGGGGCTGGGTGGGGCGGAAGAACCCTACTGGGTGCCTTCTCGTCTCTGGACTGGGGCGTCGGGGGAGGGGGGAGAGGGATCTAGAAGCTGCATTTACTAAACCCATACCCCCAATTAAGAAAATAGCAAATATTCACTTTTTTAAAAAAAAAAAAGGTGGAGTCGGAGCTGCTGCGTGAATACGATTCCCTTGCTGAGGCTGTGTCGCCCGAGCTAGTGCCGACCACCCCGCCCCTCCCCCTACCCCATTCTGGGTGTGGACCGCAGCCGGGCTGAGGCCTCTTCCGGCTCCAGTGCCACCACCCCCCACCCACCCCACCCCCGTCCCCGGGGTGATGCTGGCCACTCCACCAGGCGAGACCTGGCTCTCAGCCTCCCCGCGCGCCCCTTCCCCCCGCCCAGTGTAAAGTCCGCAGTGCCCCAGCGCCCGTCCGCCCTCTGCTGCCCTGGCCAGCTGCCCCCCTCTCCTCCGGGGACGCCGGGCTGAGGAGCCTCTGCCCGCCCAAGGGCACTGCCCTCCGCGGCCGCAGGCCCCGGCCTTCACTCCACCACCCCCCCAGGACTCCCCTTAGGGGAAGGGGAGCAGGAGAGGGACTCGGCCAGGTGGATGGGTGGAGCCCGCGTCGCAGAGGATGCAGCCGGGGTGGCCGCCGGGTTCAATAACAACTGGGCTCGGGAGCCGCAGTGGAAACGGGACTGGCCAAGGAGCTTTTCTTTGCAGTTAATGGGGTGGGGGAGCGCTTCGGGCTAGGCTGAGGGAAGAAAAGCCCCCGCCATTAAGCCTGACTCCCGGGAAGGCGGGGAGGCCCGCAGGGGCCCGGCTCCGCCCAGCAGCCGAGGAGGCTGCGGCCTCGGGCAGCTGAGCCGGGCCGGGACCTGAACCTCTTGAAGGTTAGAGAGGTTAGACTTGCTCTTGGGGTTCTGCCCTCATTCTGGCAGTGGAGCCTTTTTTTTTTTTTCCACCTTCCTCCTCCACTTCAGGACCGTGCTGGCCTGTCGTCCGAGGAGACGAAGAAACGCTCAGCCCCGACCCTAGGTCTGGCCTGGTGCAGGGAGGCCGGGACGCAGCAGACGGGCGCGTTTCCCACAGCCAGATTAGCGACCAAGGTCACCAAGCCCTAGTCGGAAATGCCTCCTAGCCACGCTGACCTGCCTTAGCTGGGACGCGCCCTGTCCTCAGCTCGTCCTGACCCAGCAGGCCTGCGTCCTTGGACTTTCCTTTCAAGCCCAGAGAAAGATTATTAATTTAAAAAAATTTTTTTTTTATTGAGGAACTAATTTTCAGAGTTATTCAGAGCACCCAACTTTACAGCAACCAGTCACGTCCAAATTCCTTGTGTACAATTTTCCGACATTAATCCCATCACCAGTATCAAGGGGCCTCTCCTGCCTGGGCTTCAGAACCTTACAGAAGGCCAGGACCGAACTGAATCAGCTGCATGCAAAGCAAACGCTGTAACTGCTGCACTAGCATCGGCTCGGAGAAAGATTAAGACAACAGAGTATTTTACAGTTACTCAGGACCGCCCTTTAATATCATTTTCCACATGTGTCAGGTTGAAACGGAGGCCAGGGGTGAAGGGAAGCTAGTGCCTGGTAGGGCTGATGGTTTTTCAGCTCTTTGCAACAGTCATTTCCTCCCGTGCTATACCACCCCTTCCTGGCACCACTTTCATCCCTGCAACACCCCCCTCCCCAATTTTTTTTCTTGCAGTGGTTTGAGTACATTAAACAAGGAAAGTAGGAGTGAGGATTGCCCAGCTAGTGCTCGTGCTCACACATGGTTCTGCTCAATAAAACGATGGCAATAACGCTTATCAAACAAAGAGAAGGATGTCGATAATCACTGTTTCCAGCACCCCAAAGGGGGGGTTGTGGGGGGGCGGTGGAAGATGGGGACAGCTGCCCCTCTCTTGCTTCTTTTATTGGATCCGAGAGACAGGTTTTCATTCTAGGTCTTTTAAAGAAAATTTTCCTGAAGGAAGAGATGAGGTGACCTCAGTCCTGGTGGGGTTGTGGAAACTTCACCCCCCCCCCCCATTTTCCACCCCCAGAACTGCATTGGCCAAGAGTGAGCCAGTGCCCAGAGAGAGCTCAACAGATTAAGTTGCAGGGCTGGCACGCAGGAGACCTGGGTTCCATCCTGGGCCTTGCACGATCTGCTACATCCAGCACTGTCAGATATCACCAGAAGACAAGCAGATAATAAAAGGAATGGCTTGGGGCAACTTTTATGAGAAATTTATCCTTTCATCCACCGTTCTACCCACCCGTCCATCCATCTGTCCATCCATCCTTCCGCCCATCCTTACGTCCATCCACTCACCTACCTATTCATAATGTGCAGGCTGACCCTGACTCTCTTTGGGGGGAGGTTGGGCTGCAGATGCCTTAACCCCTGGTTTATCTCTTAGGCTGGAAGTAGCTTGCTGGTGCGGGAGGTGGGGGGTGGGTATGCTGTTGGGGGTGGGAGAGCCCTGAAGATTGCAAAGGACTGAGCCTTGGAAGGAGAAGAGTGAACAGGTCAAGTGGAGACCATGGGAGTTGGGGAGGGCCTGACATAAAGGTGCCCACCGAAGGCTTTCGTGGCCAGGTGGATGGTTGAAGTTGGCCAGGAAAGAAGCAGACACCCTTAGCAAAGGCTTTCTGGAAACCTCTCCAGTGTCTGGGGGTGAGGAGACAGAAGGCACCACCTGGAGAAATGTAAAACATTTGTTCCTAGACAGTTTGAAGATCTCACATCCATGCTTCTCCCCCCCCCCCCCCCCGCCCCCCTGTGCATTTTTGAGCCACACCCAGTGGTGCTGAGGGGCTACTTTCCTTCCAAAACTGGGGGATCAGGTGGTGCTGACATGGAACCTGGGCCTCCTGCAAAGCATATGCTCCTGCCCGTAAGCCAGCTGGAGCCCACATTTGTCTTCCAGGAATGGACCCCAGTAGATCTGTGCTGGATTTCAAAACCAAGTTTTTCATCTTCAGCTGTTGATTTCAAAACTGCTCAGTCTTCCAGGTCTTACTTTGCTGTGAGAATCAAACGCTGGTGGCCTTCCGTTCTTCCCAGCACGAACTTGCAGGCCTTTAGCCCAACCTCAGTATGAAGGTCCTCACCACTATCAACTGGTAGCCAGGTGAAACAGTGGCTTCAGTGTGAGGTTTTTCCTGTTGTCAAACAGGCCACACCAGGCCCCAAGAGCTGAGTTTGTGGGAGAACTGAGAGAACAGGATTCTGATTCAAGTGAGACCGGTACTGGGCACCTCTGCTTGGCAGGCTATCCTTCCTTCCTTCCTTCCTTCCTTCCTTCCTTCCTTCCTTCCTCCCTCCCTCCCTCCCTCCCTCCCTCCCTCCCTCCCTCCCTCCCTCCCTCCCTCCTTCTATCCCTCCCTCCCTCCGTCTATCCCTCCCTCCCTCCCTCTCTTCTTTCCTTCCTTCCTTCCTTCCTTCCTTCCTTCCTTCCTTCCTCCCTCCCTCCCTCCCTCCCTCCCTACCTCCCTCCCTCTCTTCTTTCCTTCCTTTCTTCCTTCCCTCTCCCTTCCTTCCTTCCTTCCTTCCTTCCTTCCTTCCTTCCTTCCTTCCTTCCTTCCTTCCATTCCATCAGATAAGCCAGAGATTTGTTTAAATGATTCTTGTGCACTTCTATGTGTTAGGCACAGCAACACTTGTGGGAGTTACAGTGATAAAAGAGATAGACATGGTTTTTGCCCTTGTATTGCAGGACAGAGGATGTGTCCGAAGTGACACCACCCGTGATTGGCGGTGCGAGTGGGGTGAGTGTGCCTTCCCTCACAGTTGTCGTCAGCACCCTCTTTTATTTCTCTGTTCCACTGGTATTCATCAGCTGTGCATCAGATACTAAATGCCTGGCACCAAGACCCCAACCTTAACAGCTTTCTTGTGCCACCTGCATAGACCTTCTGTAACTTATACTGCAAATACATCAAGTCAGAGAGTTAAGATATCAAACAGTGGCCAGAGGGACAAATTAAATTCCGTTAACATTAGAAGTGCGTTATAAAGTGCAGAGAGTGAAGGGATGGGGCGAAGCATTGAGCACATTCTGGGGACCTTGGGGCCAGTTAACCTTGGAGCTCAGATATGGAGAGCACAGACTCAGCACCTGCTTAATCTCTGGGTGTCCTCCACGCCCTCCCCAATGCCGCCACCACGCAGTCAGCATAATACCACTATCTGCTAACAGTGGCATCCGTTTGCATCTCTGTTGGCCTTGGTTGAAATGGCTGGCAATAGGGTCCAAGTCCCCAGGAGCAGGGAGGAACTGTAGGGAATGCAGAGGAAGATAACCAGGGGCCGTCACACGTTGGGGGAGTATGCCTCAGAAGTCAGAATTTGATCTTGGGCTTTCGTGCCAAGGTTGTGTATGCAGCTGGCTGAGCTTTGAAGGCTGAAGAACTTGAAGGACAGATGCACGGACGCTGATCACCAGCGGCTGAGGTTCAAGCCAATCCTTAACCAGCGCCGTTAGCTTTGGAGAAGCTGTTCAGCTTGATGGCCTATTTCCTCCTCTGCAATATGAAAATGAAGAATAGAGCTGCACAGGGCTGGCTGGGAATGCTGCCTCTTTCTAAAGTAC